CAACCAGTTATAGAAAGTGTACTAGAACAGCGGAGTTGTTTGTGCAACAACAGAAAATGTACCTGGAACAATGGAATAGTTTGTGCAATAATAGAAAATGTACCTGGAACAATGGAATAGTTTGTGCAACAATAGAAAATGTACCTGGAACAATGGAATAGTTTGTGCAACAATATAAAATGTACCTGGAACAATGGAATAGTTTGTGCAACAATAGAAAATGTACCTGGAACAGTGGAATAGTAGGTCGTACATTAATTGAAAGTGAACCCGGAACTGTACCTAAAACTGAAACACGAAAGTGTTTCGTAGAACAGTAGAAAGTGTACCTGGAACTTATTTAAAACAACAAAAGCGGATTGTAGAGCAGTAGAAAGTGTACCTAGACTGTATTCAAAACCCACAAAAGTGATATGAAGTACTGTAGTGTAAAGAGAGAACATGCCTGAACATGTATCTGAAACTAAAACGATGGCTTGGTTTCAAGTCCAGTATAAAGAATGGAGGTGTACATGAAACAAGTTTGTAGAACAGAGATCACGAAAATAGTATTTCTGACACCAGTAAGGCATGCCGAGAACAAAATATAAGAGAACTTTGGACATCTCTACCATACCAGACCATTTCATGCTGAAGAGTGCGCTCGATGTGTGGGAGGGTAAATGTAGCTCATGTTCATGTTTCTGCTATGGGCTCAGGGGATTATAGGAAAATGACAAACTTGGAACTCTATAAAACTTGGGAAAAGTACTCGTATAATTCAAAGAATACTCTCAGTCTTGGATAAACTACAAATATAATATTATCAGACTTGGATATAACTTACTTTCACATAGGGTAAAGTGCGATATACTCCTTCACTTAGGTAACTACGAAGTAAAATTTCAGACTTGTGGAAATATTCTTGTATACTCTCAGACGTGGCTGGAATACAAATTGTGCTCTCAGACTTAGCTAAGATACAAATACGATATTTTTAGACTTGGGTTGAATTGATTTACACTTTCAGACGTGGGTAAAATGCAAAGTATACTCTTCGACTTCGGTTAAATATAAATTATACATTGAGACATGGATTGGGGGGGGGGATACAAACTAAACACTCACTGATGGTTTATACACAGTTGTGGGCTGTGCCAGTTCTGCATGCCGATCAGCTGAGCCGTGGGTGTACACAGCTGATGGTACGCCATCATTTCCACCAGATGGCGCAGGTTCGAATCTCCTATCATGTACAACGTCTTTCCTTGCAGGCACTACAGAAGAGATAACGAGAGGTTGGAGAGCGCCACTGATAAGTCTATATTAATTTTCATTTATTAGATGAAGATGTCTCTATGTTTGTTCAACTGTCTCTAATGCTTTTTCAGCGCTAATTGGCGGACCGTATTTTGTAGATATTAGTAAATTGTATTTTCTCAAAATCAAACTCGATCTAGAACGTAACTCAAATACTACAAAGACGAGTTTAAACAACCCAGAGTACGTTTTGTTAAAAAAGGCACGATACAAAAAAAACACAAAATTTTCTAGGAAACAGACTGTCATTTCTTTGACCAACAAAGACTGTGTGGGAAAGCATTTTAAAATATTCAAACGATCACAATTTGATTTGTGTTATCAGTTTTACAACCAGTTATCTATCTTTCTTTTGTGATAAAAGAATTAATTGTAGAGGTTTTACGCCCCCATCGACATTCTTTAGAGCAGTTAGGAGGCGGGCTGCTTCAACCCTTCTTGTCAGGGTCAACCCAGACTGAAAGGGATACAACGTCAAAACAGACCGGAGGAGATAGTCTACTCGATTTCTATAAGTGTTCTATTTTCAAATGTGAATTTTTTTTTTTCGAGAAATTCTGTCTGCTCTTCTGGCCGTTATATTGTACTCAGAGGGAATGCAAGCAGGGTCGGGACACTTCATTGTCTAAATTGTGTCGAAAGGGGCATAAAATGTTTCAGTTAACATAGGAATTACAAAAAAACAACCAATATATTTTAAGGCCTTCTCTCGTAATAAAGTGTTTTTTTTGGTAAGTGTTTTACGGCGCTTGCAACTGAATATGGTCATATTATGGGGGCGCGGGGCACTTTAAACATTTTTCAGTTGGTAGGAAATTTTGAATTTTGCCCAGTGGCAGCTGAAGCCTACTCTTATCGATTTTAGACACCAAAGGATCCTACACGTGCACAACTTTTTCACGGGACCCCCGAGATTTCGCCGTGTCCGAGAAGGATAGGTGTAGATCTTTCCTAGCAGAAGATCAGGGCGTGGCTGAAAGACCGCAGTAAGAAGGAGCCAAGGAACAGCAGTAGAAATGCTGCAGAAAGAGCCAGGAGCCTATAGGAGGGGGCAAAAGAGGTGGGGGCAGAAAGTACAGACGAAAGCAGATGACAGAACAATGCTAGAGAGCAGGAGAGGAGGGGAAAGGAGACAATTTTAGAGAAGAAAAGTTTTTCTTCGCTGACTGGATTCGAACCCGGGACCTTTGAATGAGAGGCG